AGTAGCTGTATTAGATTTCTTGCTTGTTGCTGTGATAAAAATTCCTTGACAAAAGCAGCTTAAGAAAGGGTTTATTTAACTCACAATTCTAGGCTTTACAGTCCATTATTTGGGGAAGTCAAGGTAGCAGGAGCTTACAGCAGCTGTCACATGTCATCTATAGTCAAGATCAGAGAGCAGTGGGTTAAGATGTCATATATTCTAGTGCTCAGCTTGCTCTATTACTAACCCTGCCCAGGCAGTTGTGCCACCCACAATGGGTAAGTCTCCCCATGCCAAGTAATATAATCCGTATGATCCTCCTTAGACATGCTCACAGCCTAATCTAGGCAGTCCTTCTTCAGATTCCTCTTGAGGTGAATTCTAGATTGTGTCAAATTGACAATTAAAATTCACCATCACAGAGCTGAGGAAATGTCTCAGTGGTTAAGAACACTCAGTGCTCATGCAGAGGACTATAGTTTGGTCTCTAGCACCCACATGCTAGCTTACAGCTGTCTGTAATTCTAGTTCCAAAGAATCCATCAACCTCTTTTACCCTCCATGGGCATGTGGCCTCTGTGGTCAGGCAAACCCCTCAAATTCTTTAAAAAAAAAAAAATCCCTGTCACAGTAGTTTTGAAAATCAATGTGAACTTCTTTCCAGAACAGCTGAAGTAGCACCTCCTGGACCAGTACAGTTTGAAAAGGGGTCTTTGATTCTTGTTTTGATAATAGCAAGAATTTCAGATGAATTAAATGGAAATGGTAAAAATAAGATTAATTGTAATCTAAAGATGGCTATTTTGAAGGTATTAAACAATATCATACAAAGTGGGCACTCTCCTGGTGAGGCTTTGAGTATGATAACTCACATGACAGCTATCCTTGGGTACAGTCTTATTTTGTCAGTTTCTATTTTTTTACTTTGTGGTCTCCCCAAACTCCTCTCCAATGAAAAATATTGGTGATCAGTGTATATTTTCCTGGCAGGGTCCATTATTTCCCCCTGGTTGTTGTGGTTCTGAGAGTCTTTAGGGTCTGAGAGGAATGCTGCCTCTGCACCATTTCTTACTTATCTTTTCCTGAGAGTTGACTACTTTATATTTTATATATTCTAGACCTAGTAATTACACAAATAAAAACTTAGAAATTAGTGAAACTCTTCTAACTCTGGTAAAGAAACTTAGTTTGAGCATTTCTATTTATATCAACATAAGGTACTTAGAAAGAAGAATCCATCATGATATAAACACATAAGGAAAATCTACTTATGTAAGAAAAAATTGAGAAACATTTAGAATGTTTATATTTAATTCCAAATTAATTGTATCAATAAATGAATTCTTTCTACTCTTAGGAAATTATGGACTGCTTGCATGATATAGATCTGTAAAGTTGTATTGCCTAACTTCTAAACACATGAGGCTAATTGAATTGAGATATGCTGGAAACTGAAAATGCACATTATATTTTAAAGATGTAGCAGTATTTTTTACTTTTTAAAATTTTTTAAATTGGATTTATTCATTTTATGTTATGTGTGCCTGCATATAGTATATGTAGCACATGCATGCTTACTTAGCACCTGTTGAGGTCAGATGATGCCATCATATTCCTTCAAACTGGAGTTAGAGAGGCTTGTGAGCCACTATGTGGGTGCTCTGAATCAAACACCCTGAAAGAGCAACCATTTCCACTTAACCGACTCTCTAGCCCCTAGTAGTGTGCTCATGAAAACAGGATTATTCATAATTGGTAAGCCTTTTTTAATTTTGTTTTTAAAATTGGTATCTTATGTGTTGTTCTATGCAGGCTGGGTTTGAATTCTTGGACTCAAGCAATCTTCCTGCTTCTGCTTCCTATGTAGCTGGAACTACAGGTTTGTTGTCACCATACCAGGCTATATGATTGAATATTTATTATAAGTTAGAATGATATTTTAGACGTACTAGGTTAAGTAAAATACTACAGTGAATTCACCTGTTTCTCTTACTTTTGTGATGTGGCTGCTGTTGGCTCACACTACAGTCTGTTGGCCAGTACTCCCCTAAGAATGAGAACACTGCAGTTGGTAAAGGCTGCACTGTGACTCTTGCACTCTTATTAGACAGAAGTCTATTAATTTTCAGCAGGTGTGTAACTCATGATGACGTAGAAGAGTTACTATGATACATAATAAAAATTAGACTATTTAGGTTTGTTTGACTGCACTCAGTAAATAACAGAAGCTTAAAAAAAAAAGCAAGCTTTTCATTGAAAAAAATCCATGTGGCTCACATCTTATATAGCCAAGGCAACATGCATTTGTCCCCAGAGTTCTTTCTACAAAACTTGTACAGTTTCCTCACAATTGTGTTAGACTGTTCTCGCTTGGAGAGATTTGCTCTTCTGTGTACATTGCTTCACATTTGAACTTATTGAGCATACACAGATCATGACCATTGAATCTTTGTTGTTGGGCTGCATCCCTTGGGACCTGGCGCTTCTTTTCCATAGACTAAGATGGCTCCTGGAAGAT